TCTGGCAGGCAGGTAAAGCTTGAGCAGCCAGGTAAAGCTGACTTAGGGATGACAAGGCCATGAGCATCCAGCCCATTGTCAGGGCTAGGGTCAGCTGGCTGCTAGTTCCTAACATTCCTACCTCTTATTGTTATTAAAAAGGTGGGGGTTGGGCGTGGCAGGTTAGGGAATAAGGACCTTGAGTTCTGGAGACTGCTTCCTGCTGAACTGGGGGCAGAGATTGTCTTTGGGGGATCCGAGAAAGCTGGGGTGCTGCCAAGTCCTGGTAGCTGGTTGTTTCATCACAGTTCTGACAGTATGGGGGCTCTGGCCTCTCTTTGAGACCTGGCAAGATGTTAGCAGAACAGAGGACAAGGTTAGTTTTTTTCTCTTAGGTCTTAGTGCTTAATGGGAGAAGTGTGAGGTGGGGGAGGGGCTCCCAAGGGGGTCCCGGGACAAGGGAAGGAAGTCCTGTCCTGAGGCCAGGAAAAAGTTGAGTAATATTTATTTGGAGTGAATCTGACCTGTAAATGGATCCAATTCTTTGAGTTTGTGAAAATATAAATATTAAGACACATTAGCAGCATACTCATGTTAGAAATGATTTGGCTGAAAGAATTAACACATACAACTGGCAGATTTTTAGCACAATGTAAAGCACCTTAATTGTAAGTTTATAGTTACAGTTACGATCATATAGTGGCATAGTATTGTGTTTAATACTGTCAGAATTGGATTAGTAGCTTCTTAAAACTTTATTGATTCATGTTAAGACTATAAATAGGAGCAACCTTAAAATACCCATTTTTGAAATCTGTTTTGAAACAATTGGAGCCTTTGCTGCTGCTTTAAGCATCAGAGTTCTTGAGAAGGATAAAATTTTACCTGAATGATTAGAGTAACAGAGACTTACTAGCTGGCAGCATGGACAGCCACCCCAGGTCCTCCACAGTTGTTGAAGTCAGAGGCTTTAAGGACATCTGCCTTCTGCTGATGGCATGAGACCTGTGGGTTAGAAGCTTTTGGAAGACTTTACCTACCATTGGCCCAAACTACGTGGAGAAAGGCGATTCCACTGCCCTCTTGTCCATGGTACTTACAGCCTTTTTCAGCAGTTGAGATGAACAGCAGGATTTCTCAGTGGCTACTGTTGCCACTTTAGTGGGTGGAGCTTCTTCAGTGTCCATCAGTCTTCTTGAAGGAAATGAGTGGTGCCAGCAGCTGGCCTGTCTCTCTGTTATAAAAGCATTTTAATGAAACATTTTAAATGCCATATTCTCTAGATCTCTGAGCATTTGAGGGCTGCTGATTGTTTAGCATACCTTAGTATACAAAATTTGTCTTTAGTTAATAGCCTTAAGCACATAGGTGGCTAGGTAAGGCTTTATCCCTGTAATTAATTAATCTGTTTGGAAAACTGGACCCAAGCTGAGAGGCTGTGGAGGGATGTTTTACTCAGAGCCCTGCAGCCTGACTGTAACTGGTTTTAACTTAGTAGGTTAGACTTATACCTGTAGAGGACAAAGAGGTAGAGAAAAACTCCCTTTGATAATAGAGGCATAACCTTTATAAACAGCTTACAGGAAAGACTGAGTGGCATAAATATTTTGTTAGCTTGAAATAGGCATTTATAACCTTAAATGTTTACCACCATTTAAAGGCATCTAACAATTTAGAGTACAGATGAATTTAAGTTGTATTGTAAGACCCTCAGAATGAGGAGTCTTCCAGGTTCAGTCGATACCCCAAGAACTCAATGTCCAGTCCAGTTGCTGCAAAACGCAAGAGGCTTTAATGAACAGGAAACATTTGGGCAAATGGGCTCCTCCAGCAAGAGAAACCCCCTCCCCTGGGTCCATGTGCTTTTAAAGGCAAACCCACAAGCTTAGGGAGGGGGTGGGGCCCTCTGTCCACTGAGTATGTGACTCTTGGGGGCCAGATGGTCTGCTATTAAGGTCCAACAGACCTTAGGGCCTCGGGGTGTGCTAATTAATTTTTCTGGGCATACTGGAGTTGCAGCTATCTCTTTGTTTCCTAAGGACCCTATTCACCACCTGTTGACTCACAGGAAAGGAGGGGCAGTGTGAATTCTTCTTATCTCAGGGCTTTGTGAGAGGAAGTTAGCAAATTCCAAGGAACAGATATTGGTTTCCAGGTCAGTCCATCATTAACATTACTTTTTTTTGTTCTTTCAGTATGAAGTTAGCTTACATTTCAATAAAGTTAAGTTTAAATCAAATGTACAGATATATTTAACAGGACTGGGTAAAAATGAGAAGGACCAGAGTGTGAAGCTATGTGCAACATAGTGAAAAAGAAATTAGAGACAAAGAATAAAAGCAAAAGGTAAATGAATTACAGGTTCTGTTGCGGCAGAAGCTGGCTAAACTCCCTCTACCTTGGTGGCTGATTTAGCAGAGGGAAGAACCATGGGGGGGAGGGGAGGCTAGGCCAAGTGGTCCAGAGGGTGGCTGCCATAAACATATCCCCAAGAGCTGGCAGAAATCATAAAGTTTTGAGATAAAATTTTGTCTTGAGTAGATGCTGCCTCAGCCCAGCCTACTGCCCTGAGACAGGCTTCAGCTGAGGCGGGCAGGAGAGTTTTAGCTTGGCGGGAAGAGAACAAAAACAAGTTTAGGGTAAGAGATTGTTTAGCAGAGAGATAGAAAAAACTCCTTCCATCTAACCGTTCGCTGGCAGTAATTTGAAAGATCCAGTAAAATATCAGGATCTAGAGAGTCATTACATGGCCAATTTGGATTATTTTTAGGGGATATCTAGGCCATTTTTCAGTACAAAGGTAAATAACAAGTGACATCTATCAGGCATCCCAGTGGAGTGGTGAGGGGTGACCATGCAATCTTGGAACTCCTCAGCTCAAGAGTGTGGCCACACGATAAGCAAGAATGGCAGAGCGTTATTCAAAGCTCGTTAGCCGGAAAACGTTGCCAGGCCCAACAGAGGCCAGAAGGACTCAGCAGTCCGAGAGCAGAGCAGATATACCGCCACGGGAGGTATGTCTTCCACCCTTAAGGAATGTATCTGACCTTAAGGAAATGGGTTAAAATTTAAAAGGATACCTTACCTAATTGAAGCCAGTGTGGGGTGGTATTTCCAGAAAAGGGAGGGGGGGAGGAATGGAGGGGGACCACTGGAATCAGAAACAGGATCCCAAGTGTCTTGGCTGGCCAGCAGACAGCTGCCAGTGACCCTGAAGGAGAGCCTGCCTGGGTTTCTGCAACAAGTTGTTCTTTTGCTGCTCAGCTAATGCCTAAGAAACACAAACAGGAGACTCAGCACCCACCTGGCGTTTATTGAGAGAAGGGATAGAAAGAGGGGAGAACTGGTGGCCGACCAAAAGCAGGAGAGAGAGAGAGAGAGGAGAGAGAGAGAGAGAGAGAGAGGAGAGAGAGAGAGAGAGAGAGAGAGAGAGAGAGAGAGAGAGAGAGAGAGAGAGAAGGAGGGAGGGAGGGGAGAGAGAGGAAGAGAGAGGGAGAGGGAGAGAGAGAGAGAGAGCAAGAGGGGGCAAGAGAGAAACCAGAGAGAGGAACCAGAGAGAGAGGCACTCTTGGCATGCTTGCTTTAAAAGGGAGGCTTGAGCATGCATAACTGAGTCCTCTGGCAGCCAGGTAAAGCTTGAGCTGCCAGGTAAGGCTGACATAGCCATGACACAGCCATGAGCATCCCACCCATTGTCGGGGGGGGGGGGGGGGGTCAGCTGGCTGCCAGTTCCTAACATTGGGCATCCTGGAAAACTGGAAAAGCTAGACCAAGGTCAGTTTGCACTGCTCTCCAGACCTCAGGGCAAAAGGAATGTCCTGTCCCTTAGCCCCGCCCTTCCTCCATCTGATAAGGAGGCACCACCAAGGGCTATATTCAGGGGGGATCCTCCTACTCCTTACATCACCATTTCTCCTTTTCTTCCCCTCTTCGTTCTCTAAGGGATTGTTTCTGAACCTTTTCTAAGAGGGCCTGCAATTCCTCCTCAGACTGTTTCAACCTTATCAGACTCCCCTGTGCTCTTAACCTCTTCTGAACTTTTTTCTTGTAGCACTTCTAGTTCAGCTTGCCCCTTTTCCACCGCCTCTCTACAGCATTTCTGGTCCTCAATGCAGCAATGCACTAATATCCAAATAGGTCTGACTTGGGACTTTAGTGTCCCTTATTCCCAAGCAAAGTCAAGATCCCTGCCTAACTTGTACCAGCACACTAACTTAAGGTCTCCCGAAACGAAACTGCGAACCAAGGTGCAATGGCTTCGCATTGGCCCGAAACCTTTCCAGTGTGTTTTTCTTTATTTTAAGTTTCTTTGACAAAAATAGCCCCTGAAGAGCCAGAAAAAATGGATGAGACTGAGATGTCCCCATTTTAAAAGATTTTACTTTCGGTTCGCTAGAACCTCTCCCTCAATGCCTGAGACTTTATTGCCGCTTATGCCCACGGTCCTTATTTTCCCACTCTTCCTAGGGAACCTTATTGCCGCTTATTTCCACGGTCTTTATTGTCCCACCTTACCTTGAGAACTTACCAGCGCTGCCCTGACTGCAAGAAGTTCTGATCTCCATCCCAGTACAGGCCACCAGTTGTCCCGTCCAACCTCAACCAGAAGGAAAGACACAACTCAGGCAAGATCTTCTTCAAGCAGTTTATTCAAGATCCTTGAACAAGCTTCTTCTTCTGACCCCTGGGAAAGGCCCACACAGGCTTAACTCCCCTTGTGCTGACCAACCTAGTGAGCCACATAGACCCTGCAGATAGGCTGCTCTTATAGGGAAGCAGCAAGCTGAACAGGTTTAGCCAAATAAGGACTTGTTTACAACAGAGAGTGCTCACCATCAGGAAGGTGGAAGGCAGAAGCCAGCGCCATCTTTAAGGCGTGGCACTTTGCAGCTCTCTACACAACCCAGTCATCTCTACCCCTGTTTCCACAGCCACAGCATGCATCGATCACAGTAGGGTTTGGGTTGACAGGTGATGGAGATGGAGGAGGAGGAGCAGGTGGTGATGAATGAGGGGGTTTGGTTCTCCTCTGGATCCTGCAAGTGAAAAGAGATGGTCTGTGTCTTGCCTGCAGTCTTGAGAAGAGTCCCTTACATACAATGGCACTACGGGGTGGTCAGACAGCCAATGCTGTAGAGTGAATGGAAGGCTGTAATGCACACCCTGGAGAGGTCATCCTTGAGAAGTGTAACCAAAGCCCTCTGATTTGCAGATATTGAGCTTCTCACAATGCCAATAGCCTTGTATTTTGTTCTGCTGAGGTCACTCTTGTTTGGGAGAGACCTAGCCAGCAGGCTGTGCAGAGGCTAGGCAATGGAGGTAGCATTCTCCCACACCAGGCCATGGTCATTACAGGACAGGCGCCCAGGGCTCCCACTAACCAGCCCTGTCCCATGTGGATAGGAAAGCTGTTGCCACCCCAGCACAGGCCCAGGTCCGGGATCTGTGTACTGCAGCTTTTCTTTACCTCTTCTGGTCCCTACCCTGAGGAAGGCTCAGTGGTGTCTGCATCCTGGTCCTTGTGCTCAGCTAGGAACATCCCTCATAGCTGATAGTCAGTTTCAATATCCTCTCTTTTCATCAGCCCTGGGATTCCTAGGCTGTACACAGTGAAACCCTTAGCCATACCAGCCAGAGATGGAGATAGCTGTACCGAATCCCAAAGGCTCTGAACTTGTATATGGAGACCTGGCTCTGACTTATGCAGCTCCTATACTAAGAAACCGTTTGCATCCTTGGCCTTCTACAGAGAGCCTTATGGGATCCTTTGTAAAACTCCAATTCAGCAATGGACAGCTGTACTCGCTGGATGAAGTCTCCAAAGCCCTGATTATTTGGAAATGCTTGGAGACTGGTGATGGTATTGTCTAGTTGACATAAGTTTGAGCTCTGCGGTTTTCTGTTACAATCATTGATCTGCATTCCCCCCTGTTCACTGCCAAAGTAGTGAGGGATTCTGAGGTCAGGCTTCATGATATCCCTTAAGAAAGGTCAGTGTGACTGTCACCCTCTTCCCCATCCAACTCACCTTCTCTGGCTGTGGTGGAGGTGGCGGTGGTGGTGGCTCCTTAGGCTGGAATGTAAAACAGACAAAAGTGGGCTGGAGAGGGAGGGTGGGCGCTGCCTTGGTCCTGCCAATAGAGGGGACCTTGGCTTGGAGCAGAACGACAACATGGCCTGTGTGGGTGCTTGTTGCCTGCTGTGGTGCTGTGTCCAGAGCGCTCTAACTGCCAGAGGCATCCCCATCCCTCTCCAATGAGGGAGAGGCTATCTGGTCCTACCTTTTGTCCCTGGAGAGGCCCACAGCTGGAGTGCCTCACATGTGTCTGAGCCCAGCTGCAGTGGAGCCCACACTCACCCTTCCTATTGGTAGAAGTTCACTGTCACTCAGCCTCCCCATTCCTCCTGCAGCCTCCTCACCCTCTAATTTAGTCCCTGGATTTCACTGCTCACTGCAGCTCCAGGAAGAGATGGGCCCTGAGAGCTATGTACTAAATGCCACCTGCCCCCACCTCCCAGGCCTGTGCTTCCAATTCCTCCAGCTCTCTTCTTTCTATCCTAGCTCTTCTTCTTCTTCACCCTGTCCCAGATGCCAGTACCATCCCCACATCCTGCTGTGCTTTGGCCAAGCCCTGGTGACATCTCTGGATGTGTGTGTTATACCAAAAGCCTGAATGGTAACTGCATTTCCTGGTGGGGCAGGGTGGTTCTGCTTTCTCTTTGTGCCTCTGCAGCCCAGTAAGGGGTTGCATGTCATACTGTGGTCAGGAAAGGATTGGTGTCAAAGGTATCTCTGACCTAGTGCTTCCCTAATCATGCCTCAAAGCCATCACCCTGCATATGGGGCCACTGGACTACGTAAGGGATCCTGCCCTGAAGTAAAGGGGCACCTCTGGGGTTTGGCCACATGAGGCCTATAAATGTATAGTGGATACAAGATGGCCCTGACCTAAGGGTACTCGGATGGCCACTGTGCAGGGCTTCGTTTTCAGGCTAAGCATCGCAGACAAATTTCCTGTTTCAGCTATACTGAACAATTCTTGGAAGCCAGGACTTGGATGTTTATATTTGACACTTCGTGTGTCCCATGGATGCTGTTAGTCCCTTGGTCAGATGGGAAATTTCCACCAGACTGGATATAGTACTGCCTTATGACACTATTCCTTGGAGACGGGGCATGTGTGTGGGAGCCAGGGTGTGGGAGTGGGAGACAGAGGGAGAGGGAGAGGGTGGAGGGGGCCAGGAGACTTAACCTTCTTGCAGCATAGCCTGCAACAGCAGATCAGCAACATGATTGCCACCAGAAAGACCAGCAGAAGAATAAGCCAATTCCAGTTAAAGATAAAGCCGCCTCCTGCTGACATGTTTGGTGTATTGATGGCTTTGCCTTGTGTTGTAGCAAGTGAAACTGGGTCTGGAACTTTTGCTTGTGGCTTGCTGGCTATGGGGCTGCTGGTGGCTTTTACTGATGTCAAGGCTCCTGCTATTAAGTGCTCCCTGTGACAAAAAGCAAGAGTGGCTTCTTCCCCTGGACTCACACCTTGCTTCCCATTTGTACACACACTCTCTTCATTCATCAGGATTGGCTAGACACAAGGGCTACAGTGGAGTTAGTGACCCAGATTGGTCTTCAGAGAGAACAGCCAATCTTGCCCAGCCCTGAACCTAGAAGAGGATGACTCAGGATTTTCTATGGCCTGAGATCAGTTCTCACCGTGGCCTTGGTTGACTTCACACTACAATGAAGGTGATTAGATCTCTAGGAGAGGTTCAGGCTGCTGGGTCTCTACAGAGGTGTAGGGATAGTGGATGTGGCCGATCACTTTGTCCCTGCTCTGCCTGACATAGTTTGCCCCTCCTCCCTCTGAATCCTGGTAACAACTCCAGACTTGTCACAAATGGGATCAAAGCTTCTTCTCCTTGGATTCTCCCCCTCCCCTTCTAGTTACACTGCATTGATCTCAGGTGCTTGGAGGACAGATGTGGAAATGGACAGATGTGGAGCACTTGAGGAGTAGCACTTTCTTTCTCAGGGGCCCTGTTGTGCTGAGTGTTCCACGTGACAGACAGCTTCCCCACCACAGCTGGAGAGGAGAGGGGACCTGAGGACACTGTTAGGTTTGGGGACAAGGTGGGCAGAGGGTGGGGACTGAGGATGCATAGATTTAAGTCCATATCAGCTGCTGGGTATATGATGCACTGGTACATATTTTGTCTGCTACTGTACAAATTCTGGATTCCTGGGCATGCATATGGAGCTGTCTTGTGCCCTCCATGTCCTAGACAGTGTCTGCCAGTCTCATACCTGTCCATGATGACTCTTTATAAGCTGCTACAGCCTACCTACAGTACTTGTGGTCACCTCCAGGCCTCTTGTGACCATCTTTCTCCTCTAGGTGGATCTGCATCAACTCTGGGTTCTTACCTTGGTACTCCCACAGTTGGTTCCGGTGATGACGAGTCTGTTGCCAATGAAGGAGATGCCGTTGTTCAGACTCACCTCAAGAGACACTTCCCTAATGCATGGAAGAGAGACTACATGACGGAATTGCCCCAGAGACTCAGTTTGTTGAAAGTGTCACACACATCAGTCCTCAGTGTAATGATGCTGAAATTCAGCACAGGCCTCCCTGACAGTGAACAGGTAGGTAGAGGAACTCTATTACCCAAAGCATAAAGACTCAAGCACTGCAGGGATGCGAAGGCTGCAGATTAGGCCAGAGGGGGTCTTCATGTCATATGACCACAATGAGCAGGAGCTAAGGAATCAGGAAGATATTCAAACGCCGGTTTGAACCCTGGAACCCATCATCTACTCCATCCTGCCCTCATCAGTGCCTGGGCACTGTGTATTCCTAAGAACCTCCAGGGTCACTAACAGAGTCTTGTAGAAAGGAAATGGAACCCATATAATGCAGACAGGTGCTTATAGCAGAGGACACACCCCAGTTTCGCTAAAGCTGGGAAACACAAATCTAGGAATTCCTAGAGAAGGACTTTAGCAAGGGACACTTACTTGCCAGTATGCTGTATCTTCGGTCCAGGACAATTTATGGTGTTATTAGTTATTTCTCTAGTGCTTTCATCTAAAAGAAATTGGCATAAGACTATCAATAGGGAGCCCTTCCTCCACTGTCACCCTCTGTCTGAGAGCTGACACTGGCTGATGCCTGCTTACTCCCTCTGCCTCTTTTTGTTCAAGGGCAAGTGTGGAGTTCCAACTATGCCCCCTCCTGAACAGCACTCTGTTACCTAGCAAGCATATCCTGTACCCAAGGATCACTTGTTGGTGATTGAGGGAGAGAGCGAGAAAGACAGAGAGGGAGAGGAAGGGAGAGAGGGAAGACACACAGGACAATATAAAAGAGTGCAGTGTGCTGTGACATGGGAAGTAGAGGGGTGGGGCATCCTGGGGAGAGGTCAGATGCTCAGTTACTGGTGATGAGTCCCTTCTTTTAAAGATATAATTTCTTATTTAAAGAATAAGTGTTTATATAAGTTGGAATTTAGCTAAAGATACACAGTGGCGAGACTGTGGGGGAGCTACACGGTGTGGATTGTGAACTCCTGGGCAGTGGCTATGGGTGCTTCAAGCCCATGTACTCTTTGGTACATTTGTGTTTGGTAGACCATGTGCACTGAAACTGATTTCCTGTGAAGTGCTGATGTCTGAGATGGGAGCAGCCAGGAAATGACCTTAGGGTTGGAGGCTCAGAGATAGGTGAGAGGCAAATGGGAATAAGTTTGGGTGGTACTTCTAGTACAATGGATGTGTCAGGCGCCATGGAGTCTCCAGATAAAGGCAGCATGAAGCGCTGGTGGCCTGGGTACAGGGATAGGAGAAGAGGAGCAAGAATAGCAACCAGGTTTAGACCAAGGGAAGTGGGTGGGGAGTTGTGTTGTTTGCTGAGCTGGAGAAGTCTCATAAGGGAATAAACATTTTCTTTTCCTCCTTTGGGAGTCTGAGAGGAATTCTGTAACTCTGGCTGAAGCTGCTAATCCTCAACACACATTCTATTCCCAGTCCCCTGAGCTGGAGCAAAAAGCCAAGAGCTGAGCTGTACCCCCACTGGCTAGGCTTCCAGTTTCCCAGTCCTTTGTTTCCCCTGTGTGCTGTAATGAATGACTTTCCAGAAAGACCTGCTGGACATCTTTCATGCTCAGTCAGGAGGCTCTGCCTGTGGCATCTGTGGAGGCCATCTTGTGGGATTAGAACCTCAAGAAGGGGAACAACAAAAGGCTAAATGGATGCTGTAGTGACGATGGGCCAGTGTCATGCCAGGCTCCAGAGCTGGGGTTTATTCTTTCACTGTGTGTGTGAAGAGAGATGGGAATAGGCATGGTGCTTGGTCCTCCTTCCATTGGTCCATGCTACCTATAGCTTCCCCATTGTGCGTGGTCTGCAAGAGCAGAAGGCATGGCTGACTTTGAAGAATGATTGTGAATGGTAATGTGTACCTCATGGGAACTGGGATACCAATGCATTACTTACCAACAACCCTGGAGTCACTGAAAGTGAACCTGCAAATAACTTGGTCAGGTCATTTGCATTTTTAAATCCTCGTCCATTGACATTCACTTGAGAGGGATCTGCAAGGAGAACATTAAATTGTTGGAACAGGAGAGTTGGGTGCCATGTTCTCTCTGCTCTCACCTTTCATGAAGGGCTACCTTGAAGACGGAATTCTCAGGCCCTTATCATACAGCGACATCGTGTGGACCATCATCTATGGTCACTGAGTATCCATGCTAATGTAGCTGGGAAGGATCCTGAGAAGTTAGGAGTCCTACTGCAATCAGTGATGCAACAAGTCCCAAGTCATGAGAGTCCATCCCTGTTCTGAGCTATGCCAGCTCAGCTGAAACCTTCCTGCTTGGAGACCTCACACACTCCCGAATCCACATGGGCATTGTAGGAGAGGCAGGGCCCTATCTGCACAGGGTTAGGGTTGACTTTGATTCTGAGCATGAAGTCTATTCTCTGTTTCTCTGGTGTGCTAATAAAGAACTCAAGACCAAGGGCTAGGATATAAGGGATAGGTCTGGTCCCTGAACCACCCAAGAAAATACCTAGGAGGATTTGGCTCCTTAGACACAGGTCAAGTCCCTGATGCTCACAAGAGAGTCCCTCACAGGAGATGCCCTGTCTCAGACACAGTTCTAGTACCTGACCCACTAAAGGGAGTTCTTCACAGGAGGTGATCCCCATAGATATAGTTCTGGAGTCAATGCAGCTTTCTTCAACCCATTCACCTTTCCCATTGCTCTGGGGTTTAGCAGGGTCTTTCTAACACCTGCGAACACCTCCCTGACACTGACACAAAATGAAAAGGACAGAGTGAGGATGGCTGGGTGGGTGAGACCATAGGCAGGATTCTACCTTTTCCTCATCTGCCTGCACTGCTGCCTCGGGGCTGAGAGCCAGCTCTATCCTCCCTTCTGTGTTATCTTGACACCTCAGTGTAGAAGACCAAGGATCCTCATTTACAAGGACCCTCCCCAGACTCCATAGCACACATGTTGGCTCAGTGCGACCTCAAGAAAACAGCTAAATCTATTTCATTTCTGGTGCTGGCACCTACCTTAGGTTTCCCTGAAAGTGACAGTTATTCCTATATGCAGGTTTGTACACGAAAGCCAACATTTTAACAGTCCAGGGGCTGAGCTATATATGCGTGCCTACTTAGGGCATGTATACCAATAAAACACAATCCCATGTGTCCTTTAGAAATACTACATACTTAACCACCCAATCGGACATCACACAAACACACACACAAGCACACACACACACAAGCACACACTCATACACATCCCCGTCAAGTTTTTTAATACAATATATATACACACCAGTAGACATACTACTTTTCTACATAAAACAATACACAATTTATTTCACTCTCAGTTATAAACACATTAGACAGTTATTATACATACTATTCCTATGTAAACGACAATATAAATATATGACATAAGCCCATGAATATATAGTCACTACACTACAAGTCACATAAAAGCTCAGACATGTTGTGTATATCATAAAAACACATCATGTGGCCCTTACACATTAAATGCCCTTCCACACAATATATCACAACACAGAACACCCTAACATACATAGCACAATCATTACCACATTTTCTGCTGACACACCTGTTTTAGCCACTTGCACCACAGCCTTTCCACAACCCTTATCACATTATGTATATCACATACACACTGCTCTTGCACATCCATCCAAAGCACACTTAACACACGCAAGCATTCCTGGGCTTTTCTGTGTCAATGTTGCAAACTTTCAGACTATTTTCCTGCATCTATTTTCAAAGGCCTAAGAACCACACCGTCAGGGATTAGCTGCAGCATCACTCCTGATGCCAGGTTTCTGTATTAGTTACCATTCTCGTTGAGGCTGTGACAAAATGCCAGACAAAAATCAACTTAAATAAAGTGATTTTAGTTCATAGTAAGCATGCAGTCCTTCATGTAAGGGAAGGTAGCATGGTGGCAGTTACATGATGCTTGGGGTCATATTGCATCCACAATCATAAATGACAGAGAGGAGAATGCCAGAGCTCCCTCCCTTTCATCTTGTTATTAATCAGCTTGGTATCTCAGACCAATGGATATTGCTGTCTGTACCTAGAGTGGTTTTTCCCACTTCAATGAACTCAGTTGAGAAATCCCTCATGGTCATGCTAACAGGTTTGTCTACTATTAATTCTAGATTCTATGATCAGTATCATCACTAGAGATGTTACATGTACCAAACACATCATGGAAGCACCACACACAGAATGGACATCCCATACAAGCCACACTCAGAAACAATATCACACCCTATACATACTCATACAAATGTACTCACTCTATTGAGTAACACCATTTGCCCATGTCTGTGACCCCTCAGCTCTTACCTTTTGTACAGACATAGGATGGCGTCACAGAAAACACCTGAATGCAGGATTTGGAAGCAATCTGAGAGAGGGAGATGGAAATGGAAATGGAAATGGAAATGGAAATGGGCAGGACAGTAAGCCTCAGGGAATGCATACAAGGCCCTCCAGTCTTCTACAACCCACTTACTTTGTCAACGATGTCCTGCAGGGCAGTGAAGCCTTGTTTGGCCTCAAAGGTATGATCTGGGCTGTCTGCAACTTGGGCCATCTATGATAGGAGAAGGTATCTGGGTTAAACTTCAGAGTCAGTGGATGTAACAGACTTGGGGCAGGAACTGTTAATCTCAGGCCATGGTGAACCTAGGGTGTCAAATACTCACTGGCTTCCATTCATAGCCAAAACTTAGGCAGTGGGAAGCTCTGCTGTCCACTCTACAGAGGGGGTTGGTTTACTTACCCTAGTGAGCTGCCCTTTTACACTGGCTAATTCTAGCCTACAGCACCTTGGGTAGATGAGATTCCCCCCTTCTTGGTACTGAAAGATGCTTCACAGTCTTGCTCTAATAGCTAATCAGGGGTAGTTGGTCACCTGATCTGACTTACCTGCCACTTATCAT